AAAGAAAGAAAATAAATGCTGTGAGTGGGAGCATTATGGGATTTTAAATGTTTTTCCTTCTTGCTTGTATGTTATTTTTATAGATTCTATGATGAAAATAGAATTATTTTAGTGATAAGAAGGAAATAATTTATAAAAATAAGAAAATTCTGTCACACAGATTAATGAAGCTCTCATTCATTAGTTTGCCCTCAGTTAGTGGCTCAGAAGGCATAATATTTCATTAAAGGATCTAAAATCATTTACTATGAATGAAATTGCACACTTCGTGGTCATATTGTTAGATGCACCCTAACCCTAACCCTGACCCTTTCTGTTTGCATGTCCAATTCACAGATATTGACTTAACAGCTAGTTGTCTTTCTGGCCTCTGAGCTACAAGAATATTTTCCATTTATAACCTGAAATATGCAAATAAGAAAATGCTTTCAGGTAGCATTCATTCCTTTTTAAAAAGTTTTTGAAATGTGTTTGCAAGGTGTTATGTTAAATAACAACTACAATCAATCAATCAGCAAGCAAGAAGCTAGTCTTCACGTTTGTAGTCTGAGACGAGTGATCTAGAGTTTGTCTACACTCCCTCAAGCAAATAAGCATCAATGGACTGTATGTTCTACTTTTTTATGTATGCTGTCTTATGTATTATCCTCATTTTTGTTCAAAGTCTCAGTGTTTTTTCCACTGCAGGCTACGAAAGAAACAGAACTCAAATTGTATTGTTAGCTAAGAAATTTGGGGTAAATTTAATTTCCCTGCTGAAGGCTAGAAAGTAACTTAACAGTGTTGCTTTGAAAATCCTTAGCAGTGTTAAAGGATTAGGGTTAACCTTATTGTTTATACAGAGATGTATAATTTTAGGGAATTGGGGGGAATGCTTGCATACTCAAATAATCTCACCTGCTTTCTGATGTGTAATATTCGCTTAAAAAGAAAATACACCAAGTAGTGTATCGTATTGAGAGCTAATGTTTGGCACGGAAGAGCCTAAAAGGAGACCGAGAAAAATGTAAAAATAGAAAGAGAGAATCAGAAAAAAATATTTTGCTTAGACTCGCTCTGGTAAGCAATTTAAGCCCCTCAAAATTGTACTGACTGCAAGGCAGTTCGTAATTATTTGTATCTTCTAAATTATAGGCTTTAAAATCCATAGTCATGATTCTATCACAGGAACTTCTGAATTAGTTTGTCTGAGATTGTGGATGATGCATTCATTCCATATTCAGCTGGAAGAATCTCTGTAGAAGAGCGGAACCCAATGATGTCATCTTCATCTAGTTGAATGCTCCACATAATTTCATTTTATTCATTTATTAACACTTCTAGATAATGGAGAACAAAATTCTTCCAGAATGGAGAACAAAATAATATCTCTGCTTTCATAGACTTGAATTTTAAAGGGACATGCAGAAATGATTATGCAATTAACCATAAAGAGTGCTATGGGAGCTCTTACCAGAGAGAGTCAGTGAATAGATCCTCATCTACAAATGAATTCTTAGGAGAATAAAAATTACTTCTTTCCAATGTAGAAATGACTTGGTTTTCTTTTTCTATTTTTCTAATATTAAAAATATTACTGTTTATTGCTAATGCTATTATACCTGTTTATTTTTCTAAATTCGTGGAACTTTCTGACCCCTCTAGGTGCTGACTGCCTAATGGGAATATATTTATTTGTGATTGGAGCCTTTGACCTAAAATTCCGTGGGGAATACAATAAGCATGCCCAGCTGTGGATGGAGAGTAACCATTGTCAGCTTTTGGGATCCTTGGCCATTCTGTCCACAGAAGTATCTGTTTTACTTTTAACATTTCTGACTTTGGAAAAGTACATTTGCATCGTGTATCCTTTCAGATGTTTGAGACCTGGAAAATGCAGGACAATTACAGTTCTGATTCTCATTTGGATTACTGGGTTTATAGTGGCTTTCATCCCACTGAGTAATAAAGAATTTTTTAAAAACTACTATGGCACCAATGGAGTATGTTTCCCTCTTCACTCAGAAGACACAGAAAGTATTGGAGCCCAGATTTATTCAGTGGTAATTTTGCTTGGTAAGGAACTCTGTGTTATCAGCCCTTTCATTCAAATACCAGAACAACTTACAAAATTAAACTCATTATGCCTTCTAATGGTCACAGATTTTTTTTTCACATCTTCTAACCAGTTTTTCTCCATAAGGGTAGGGGTCAATTCTATCAGAATCCCCAAAGGGATTTTTCCCCCAAATTAAACCTTTATCATATAAATTCCAACCTGCTACAGCCTAAGAAAAGGCACTAATCACTTGTATTTTATGTATTCATCCTAAAAATACTAATCAAAATATCATTTGGCTCTTTGCCTCTATAGTATAAACATAATGATATTTATTTTATCTCTTCAAATTCATGCAGGTAGCCATACACATCTTTGGCTTAAGTGTATACCCACAACAGTTCCAAACCAGCAATATTTGAGAAAAATATTCTCAAAGAGTAGCACAGAGTAATTCAAATTTAGGGAGGAAAAGTCACTAATACTGGAAAGTTTAGAGGCTCAAATATTCATTGAATTGCTATCATTTAATTCTATTATACCGTTTTAAAATTAAACATTTCATCATTCTGCATTACTTCAACAATACTTCAACTCAAAAAAGTATTATTTTTGTGCATCTTAGTATTAAGAATTCTTTATGAAGAAGAAAAAGGTACATGCTGTGTGCTTTGTATCCTTAATAATAGCTCCTAAAGGAAATGTTTCATTTATTTGCTGCTTAAAACTGTTCATATGCACTAATACTCTTTCTTGTGTTCTAAACAGGCATTAACTTGCTGGCATTTGTCATCATAGTGTTTTCCTATGGAAGCATGTTTTACAGTGTTCATCAAAGCACCATAACAGCAACTGAAATACCGAATCAGGTCAAAAAAGAGATGGTCCTTGCCAAACGTTTTTTCTTTATTGTATTTACTGATGCATTATGCTGGATACCTATTTTTATACTAAAATTTCTTTCACTGCTTCAGGTAGAAATACCAGGTACAATTTCTTTTTCTTTTTTTTTCTTTCTTTTTAAATAATAAATCTACCTGTGCAATGTTTATCTAAAAAAGACAATTAAGACCCTTACCACTAAGGTGGGGTGCTGCGGCTTGTAATCCTAGCACTCTGGGAGCCCGAGGTGGGTGGATTGCTTGAGCTCAGAAGTTTGAGACCAGCCTGAGCAAGAGAGAGCTCCTGTTTCTTTAAAAAGAAGAAGAAGAAGAAGGCTCAGCACCTGTAGCTCAGTGGCCAGGGCACCAGCCACATATGCTAGAGCTGGTGGTTTGAATCCAGCCTGGGCCTGCCAAACAACAATGACAAATACAACCGAAAAAGAGTTGGGCATTGTGGTGCACACCTGTAGTTCTGGCTACTTGAGAGGCTGAGGCAAGAGAATCACTGAGGCCCGGGAGTTTGAGGTTGCTGTGAGCTGTGACGCCATGGCACTCTACCCAGGGTGATAGTTTGAGACTCTGTCTCAAAAAAAAAAAAAAAAGAAAGAAAGAAAGAAAACACTCTTAACATTAACCAATTTCAAGAATTATAAGACAGGTTGCTATGCACTTTGGGCTGTACTCATCAATAAAATGTTTACTAGGAAGAAGCTGTTTAAGTTTTTCCATAAAAGCCTAATAGCACAATTATTACTGGAACACAGAACAATGAATAACCAAAATAAATTCCACAGTGTCGAAATTCTGATAATCATATATTTAAAATGACCAGAAAAGAAAAGAGGCCAAAACAATTATAATTACTTCATTTTTTTTAAGAATGTAAGAAATTTTTCTTCATGAAATACATGCAATTTAGAGAACATTAGCCAAGAGGTGGAGAGATAATAGAAAGAAACACTTTTGTTACTTAAAAACGTGTGCATCACATCATTAGGGCGACTATTATTTCTGAGGAAAAAGAAAATAAGTGTTGGTAAGGAGTCGGCAAAATTGGGATGGACCCTTATACATTACTGTCAGGAGGGTAAAATAGGACAGCTGCTGTGGAAAAAAATATGGTAGTCCAAACATTAAACAGAATTACCATACACTCTAATAATTCACCTGGAAAAATACCCAAAGTAATTGACAGCAGGGCCTCAAGCAGGTATTTGCACACTTGTGTTCATAGCAACATTATTGAAAATATCCAGAAGGTAGAAGCAACATAAGCAACCAGAGAGGGATGAACTGATAAACCAAAAGTGCTCTATATACACAATGGATCATAATTCAGTGTCATAAAGAAAGGAAATTCTGTCAATTGATACAATATAGATGAACCTTGAAGATATTATGTTATGTTAAATAAGCCTGACCTAAAAGACAAATATTTTATGATTCCACCTGAGTTTCCAGGATTAGTCAAACTCATTAGTCACAGGCGGGTGGAAGATGAAATAGTTCTAGAGGCTGTGGTGATGGGTACACAAAAATGTGAGTGTACTTACTGACACTGAACTGTACATTTAAGAAATGAATATGATAATTTTTATATTATGTATATTTTACCACAATAAAAATGTGCAAAATTCCTGTTAATTATATAGTCCAGTATATAGTCACATGTCAAAAATTTA